CGCGCAAGATCCCGCTGAAGGCTGGCTGGCCTACGCCTACACATCTTGTCCACCCGACACGCGTGTGACGCATATTGAGGCGAAGTGGAGTGTTGGAAATAACCCGGTGATGAGCGATGCCTTCTTCAGTCCATGGCTTGGCATGGACACAACGGACAACATGAACCTACTCCAGCTTGTCAACCCATGGTCAGGCAACTCGTGGGGCTTTTACACAGAATATTACCAGTGGTCACCGACCGAAAACATAAACAGTAACTTTCGTGGTACAGTGGCAGGGCATACTCTCTATGGCAGCTTAACGTACAACGGCGATCAGACGTATACATTAATGCAGCGCGACTTGAATACAGGTGACTACAGCACAATGCAAATCCCCGTGCAGAAGTATGCGAACGGAACGTACAAGAACTACACAATTCCGTATATTGTCTATGAGAAGGTGGCGGATTGCCAGGACTACCCCCCAGATGAGGCTGTTAACTTCTACGAGATTTCATTGTATTGCAACGGAGAGAGGATATATCCCAAGTGGATTCCAGGTGCGGTGGACGAGGTGTGCGACTTTGCCGCGCACAGCGATTCCCCCGACGTTGTCAACATCACGTGGAGCACCACATCAAAGAGGCGCCCCACGCGCGCACAAATTGAGAGGAACAAATACACCGGTCTCGGGCGTCACCACGTCCTACAGGTATTGCGGCCAAGGAATGTTTAAATAGTGAAACAAATCAATGCGTGTGTAAAGAATTCTTTCCTTACTGTTGTTTCTTTCCGTTGGGTTTCTGTTTTATTTTTGTGTTTGTGTGTTCTAAAAAATCGTGAAACGAAGATGTTAGCGCAATGCCTTCCAATTACTCCTTTCTCTTCAACGATGCCTTTACCATATTGTTTTCTTATCTGTGCTCATCAGAAGCTATGCTTCGGGGTAAACGATCCTTGAGCCGTTTTGCCGCCATGCCCGCTTCCCCACTCGCCGCCCAGCGGTGAGTGATGGGGGATGCGGGGTGCGGCCCGCGTGAAGAAACCAGATTCTTTTTATTTTCGGTTGTTACCCCGTCTGGGGACTTCGTGTGAGGGAATGGTGGGGGCTAGTGGGAGGGGTAGGTATGCCTTGCTCTCTGTCGTTCTGCNCCCCCCTGCCTTTTCTCTCTCCCACACTCACTTTTTCTTCCCGTGCACCCTTAAGGACAGTGCGACTGGGGCGCATATGTATCCACCTTTCTGGTGTCTGAGAGCGTTTCTTTCCCATCGGGTGCAGATGAGCCAATGCCCAGTGATCGCACAGAAAATAAATAATACAGGGACACAAGAAAAAGTTTACCAGGGACTTTGATGCGCGTGTGTTCATCTTTCACCCCCTCCCCTCTTTACCTATGTATCTCTCTTTCTGTGGGTGTGTGTGCGCGCGCGCGCAAAATGACGATTCCTGCATATGCTTCTACTTCATTTGAGTGTTTTTTTTCCCTTATCTCATTCCCGCTTGCGGGGGTGGGGCTGCAGAGAAATACAAACCGAAGGATTGACGCACACACCATGGCGGTGCTCTCGCAGCAGACGCAGCAGGTGCTGTACGACGCACTAGATGCCTTCTCGCTGGGCGAGATTGACCGCGCCAATTCAGTGCTCGACGTCGCCACTGCGGAGGAACGCAGCCGTGCGGATCTGCACGATCTTTTCGCCATCCGCTGTGTGCGCGCCTCCATCGCGGCGATGGGCGGTGAGCGCTCGGTCGCGAGCCTCATGGCGGACGCCGCACCGTCTGTGCTGCACCGCCCAGTTGTGCTGTACTTGGAGGGCCTCGCCGCAATGGCAAACGGCACAAATCTCCAGACAGCGCGCGTCAAGTTCGAGGAGGCGGTCCGCGTGGACCGGCACTTTGTGTTGGCGAAGGTTGGTCTTGCTGCAGTGAACTATCACATGAAGCGCTACAAGACGAGCTTTTCTCACTACCGCACGGTGCTGGAGACACTCGGTAATGCAAGCCCTCCTATTGTGCGTGTGGGTATGGGCCTCTGCGCGTACCACATGAATCGCCTCGATTATGCGCAAAAGTGGCTGGAGCGCGCACTAGAGGTCAACGCTGATGATGAGTTGGCATTGCTTGCACTCCTTGTTGTCTTTTTGGATCGCCGTCAAATCAACAAAGTGATTGAGGTTGCTCAGCGGCTTCGGAAGGCGCTCCCTGGCAATGCGATGGTGCTGCTGAAGGTGGCGGATCTTGTGTACTTCCGGGCAGTGTCGCAGGGGCGAATGAAGGCGTCGACAGCGTCCATTCGTCAGCTCTTGGCCGAAGTGCGTCGTGTAGCAACAATCGAGGAGGGTGCAATGGCCGATTACCAAGAGGGTCGTTTGTGTGTTGCCCTCGGAGATCTATCCAATGCGCGGGTGTTGCTGGAGTCATCTCTGCAGGTTCTCCCGAATCTGCTGGCCGCGCTCATCCACTACGCCAGGGTGCTGCTCCTTTCGGGGAGAGAATCTGAGGCGGAGCAGTTGCTGCTGCGCATCAATGCCGAACACCCGAACCAGAAGGAGGTGCTGCAGCTCCTGGCGGCTTACGCCTCGCGGCGAGGCCTGCACGAATCGGCGTTAGAGTATAGTCGTCGCCTCACAGAGAACGTCGCGCCGGGCGATATTCGTTCCTGGTCACTCGCGTCTTGGTGTGCACGCTTGGATAAGGATGAAACGAAGCGACTCATGTCGCATGTCGCGCGCATCCGAAAAGGGGTGGGTGAAACGGTCTCCATGCAACTGCTCGCGAACATAGCCGCATTGGGTGGGGACACGGATGCCTTGCAGGAGATTATCGACCAGGAGCTAGGGGCAGACTTCTTGATGAAATCAACGTTGCCTGTAGCATATGTTCCTCTTGTGTTTAACTTGGCATTGCTGCTAGAGCAAAGCGATCGAACGAGAGCACGACAGCTGTACATTTTTCTTGTGAAGCAGCACGGTCATTTTCAGCTCCCCTACATTCGCCTGCATACACTCGCAAAGTCTGACGGTTTGCTGAAGCAGGCTGTGGCTTGGCTTGTGTTGCTGCAGCAGGTTGTACCGGAGGAGCCTAATTCATTAGCATATATTGGTCAAACCTTTTTTGAGAAGGAACGCTGTATCGCGGCAATGAAGGTCCTGCGCTCGGCACGAGGTCGACCACTCCCAGTAACCCTCGCCCTTGGCGCCACTTTTCTATGGTGCAGTCAACAGCACGGAAAAGATAACCACCGTTTCTTAGCGAACGCCAAGGCCAGGTTTGCATTCGTGTTGCGCCGTGACAAGGGCAACATTTTGGCCGCACACGGTCTCGCGTGCTGTCTTGGCCTGGAAGCGGATTACGATCGCTGCCAGTCTCTCCTGGATCGTGTGGGGGAGGTTCGCCCCAACTGTGACTACGTCCGCCGACACTACGAAGCTCATATGGCTAATGTGAAAACACTGAGCGACAGCTTCAAACAGGCGATTGACTACCTCGGGCGCGACACGCAGCGGACGCCGCTTCAGACGTCGTCCTTAGCCTTCTGCCTAGCGTGCGAGGGTCACTACGGGGACGCCATTGCGGCGCTCCAGAAGGCGGTGGAAGAAAATCCCAATCTTCCGCTCCTACAGTATAACCTAGCTCTCCTTTACTGTGCTGCGTTTGTCTTCGCCGTTTCACACCAGGAAGCCCTTACCCTTGACAAGGCGCGCGAGCTGCGCCGTTCCCTCAGCGTCGGGCTGTCGATAGCGTCCGAGTTCACCGGGAAAGAACCCAAATCGCAGGCAATGGCTGTGGCGAAGACGTTCCTCAAGTCTGTCTGCACTTACTGTGTAGACCTCAACGACCGCAGCATCAACCGCCTCATTGTGGCTGGTCAACGAGGCGCTATGGAGAGCGAGCGACAAGCCAAACTCTGGGGACGTGAGTACGAGAACTACGAAGAAGAGAAGCGTAACGCAGAAGAGCAGCGGCTGGCAGAGGAGCGGCAGCGACAAGAGCAGGAGAAGCAGGTTGCGCATGAGATTCTCGAGGACTTTAGGCGGTCCCAGTACGATCAGCCAACAATCCTCGACGAGGAGACATGCATTCGGATAGAAGCGTATCGCGCAGAGTCCAGTGCCGCCGCTGCCGCTCAGGAGGATGAAAAGGAGGCGGGGAATGATGATGAAGCGGGCGACACTCCTGAGGAGGTGCTGCAGCTTAGTGACCTAACGGCGGAGCGCAACGCGGCGGCGATTCTCAGCGGCATGAACCTTGAGGGGGTGCACGACGACGATGCGGTGAAAAAGGAGGCGGAGGACGCTTCTTTGTGAGAGCCGCCACGCACAGGAGCCACCACGGACACCTTCCGAGTTTCAAGGAGCCAGAAGAAAAGAAAAAAAAACAAAAAACAACTGAAGAGGAAGGAGGGTGTGAGTGTGTCTCTGTGGAGGATGCCCCATACGCCTAAGGGAAGAAGGGGATATGCGGCGGGCTTGAGGCACACGTGAACACACAACAAAAAAAAATACATTTATGATTAAACGATTCAACCGGCTCAGCACGGCAGCTGCAGCCCTTTAAAAACAAAAAAAAACAAAAAAAGAAAGAACTCAGCACACGGGCTCCCCTTCCTGTGTACTACTATCATGGTGTGCACTATTCCTTTGGTGTGGGAAGAAGAAGGAGGGGGTGGCGGCGGCCGCGTGATAATTGCGACATATTTCTCTTCCTTTTTTTTCTACGACTCTTTTTTGGACTGCTCTGCGGTAAGGAAGCTGCGCGGGCCGCAGTCATTCATTGCGCAGACACACGCACACCCGCTCGCTCACACACTCACACACATATCCACATACATAGGCATACACCCACATCCTTGACCTCGCTTGGCGGGAGAATCAAGGTGGAAAGTGCCCTAGTACAGGCCACAGTGAATAAGTACTGAGAGAAAGCACAGCGAAAAAAGAGTCATGACACATTTAAGTGTCTACGGAGGTCTCTTCTCTGACCCACCGCTCATCTCCACCGATGCGGACGCGAAGAAGACAGATCCGTACAACAAGATGGACACCATTCCATCGCGTTACTTGGGTAAGGGGTTAGGCATAGGCCGCGGACCCAAAGGGCAGAACCCGGAGGTTTTCTTCGACAAGACGTATCTCACACTTGCCTCCCCTGAGCAGAACAAGAACAAGGACTTGGGCATGTTTGAAGATTTTGCTACCCGCACCCTCCGTGAGGCAATGGAGGCAAAGAAAAAGAACATTTCAACAAAGGAGTTTTTACCGCCGTCGTTCCCAAAGAGCAGCGACGGCCCTGGCAGCTACACTGGCTGCTTTCAGTCTCGAGCGTACGAGTTCATCATGCCGGGTGAAGAGGACGGCAAAAAAAAACGGCGCCAGCGGAAGCAAGCTGCAGAGTCTGACGCTGCCGGCGGCAAGTCCAGCCTTCCCAATGTCAAGACAAACCCATCAAAGAAGGGCACGTACGGCTACCCGGGGCTTCTTCTGGATAATGCGAAGTACAATGAGAATTGGCGACGGGAGTATGATGAGTGGGAGGCGGCAGCTGCGAAACATCGGAAGAAGAATCCGCCGTTGGAGCCGATGGGACCGCCGTTCAAGGCCTCGGGCGTTTCACACGACTACTTGGACGAGCTCCTCGCCACAGGCGTCTCAGCTGTGTATCATTACGAGCCAGTGGAGGAGAAGCCGTCGAAGCGGAAGAGGCGCGCCAAACCCGCGAAGGTAGTGACGGTGCTTGAGCAGGAGAAACCGATGTTCTTCCAGTGGCAAAGGTCCGGAGAGGAGGGCTGTATTGGCAAATTCCCCAACACCTGGATCGACCCCGTTGCGGCAGAAGAGGCGCGCAACAAGGGGAAAAAACGGAGACACAGAAAACAGAAGCCCGAATACGTTCCCGGGCCTCCAAAGGGTGCGAGCGGGATTTGGAGGCCCAATTCGTACCCTGACACAACAGTGGTGCAGTCTTGTCTTCGCCGCTTCTACTGAACTCCATGAAGAGAAGTTTCAATGGTTTGTTTGGGTTTCGTTTTGAATCAAAGTACCGCATTGCGCGTGTGTGCGTCAGTGTGGATGTTGAGATACACACATTAAAAAGAAAAAGAGAGACATGGAAGGAGAGTGATAGTCTCCATGCGTGCGTCTGTGTATGAAGATGTGAAACACTCAAGGATGTAAAGATGGGGAGCGATATGGGACGCTTTGTGGCGTCTGGCGGTGCTGTATGTCCTTTCTTGTTTATACCTGTGTGTATGCGTCTTGTGTGTGGCTTTGTGATGATGCGGCTGCCGTGGTAGAGGCGTCTGACATCTCCATATGCTTATGCTCCCCTGCTTTCCTCCTCCTCGTTTTTTTTTTATTGCTTGCCAGCGTGTTCATATAGTTTGGGAAATGCATGTCTGACGTGCGCGCACTCACCATGGAGGTTTTGACTGGGCCCATCCTGCCTAACGCGTCGAGGATGGAGTAGCCTTGTTTCGTCTGCGTCGCTCTTCTTTGTCTCCACACGGGGTGGAACACGTGCGCAATCGCATCGGGAGGAGGCTTCCATTGTGGCTACTGCTACTAATATATATATATATATATATACATTCCTTGGGGGCGAAGGGTGATGGTGCCTCATGCCGCGGGGGTCTGCGGTTAGTTCCACTCGGCGCGGCGCAGGCCTCCGCGTTCATACCAACTGCTTGAATCGCGGCGAGGCTCCGCGTTGGGGGGGGGCGCCTCCACTTCATATCGTCTGATGGGCGCGTGCACACGCTGTGCTCACGACCCATTGCTGTCTGCCCAACTCTCTCTCTCTTTCCCTCCTTTCTTTTTTATTTTATTGTTGTTGTTGTCGGGTTCCTCTCCTCTTCTTTGCCGGGCCTTCGTGAAGAAGAAAGCCATCACCAACCACCGCGCATTGGCAACAGGAAGAGAGGTGCACTGTCAAAGCAGAATAACAATCAAAAAGACAAAACCAAAAAAAAAAGCAAAGGACCATCGTTGACAATAAAAAACAAAAACACAACAGAAAGTCGTAACATCGGTACCGCGAGATCATTACTCATTGCTTATGGCGCAGGTGGCGGATGAATCCAAGGCGATGGCGTCTGAGGTCTTCCTCAGTAAATACCGCAAAATCAAATCCATTGGCAAAGGTAGTTTTGGGGAGGCGGTGTTAGTGCGCTCAAAGGCGGATGGGAAGCGGTATGTTGTAAAGGCTATCGAGTCTGCCTCCATGACACAGAAGGAAAAGCGTGACGTACAGAACGAGATACGTATCCTTGCGGCTGTGAACCACCCGAATATCATCCGTTATCACGAACACTTCGAAGACGGCACGCTTATCTTCATCATTATGGAGTACGCTGACGGCGGTGACCTGAACACCCGCATCAAGGAGGCCAAGAAACAGAACCCGTCCACTCCGTTTGAACCGAAGTTGGCAATGTTCTGGTTTCTGCAGATATGTATGGCCCTCAAATACCTTCATGACAACCATATACTTCACCGAGACCTTAAGACTGCCAACATCTTCTTGACTTCCAGGAACGTGGTAAAGCTTGGGGACTTTGGCATTTCAACAGTCTTGCAGAATACACTGGCATGCGCCAAGACAGTGTGTGGTACACCATATTACTTCTCACCGGAGCTGTGCCAAAACAAGCCGTATAACAACAAGAGTGATGTATGGGCCCTTGGCGTTGTGCTGTATGAGATGCTGACGCTCCAGCGTCCATTCAATGCCAAGTCCCTGAAGGAGCTTCTGAAAAAGATTCTTGTGGGGCAATATGACCCCATCCCAACAACAGTACCGGCTGAAATGCGTAGTCTCTGCGCGGCACTCCTCCAGGTGAATCCTGTCCAGCGGCCTAGCGTCAACAGGATTTTAGAGAGTCCGTTCGTGCAAGAGTCGCTGAAAGGGTTTAGCGCGGATCTCGAGAAGCAGGCGGAAAAGGACCGCACCGAGTTTGAGGCGCGGCGCCCGCCTCCACCGAAGACTCCACCGACGCGAGTGCAGGATAGACCAAAGGAGACACCCAAGCCACCGCAAATGAGCGAGCGCGAACAGATGGCTATTCTGCGCGGCATGAACCGAGAGAGCATGAAGGCGATGTTGGCGAAACAGGCAGCCGCAGCTTCTGCCCAGCCAGAGCTGGCGAAACCAGAGCCGGAAGACGAAGGACACTCTGATGTGGATGATGATGGTGACTACATCGAGCAGAAGAAGGCCATTGTGCAGCAGACAAAGGGGATCGTTGGAAACACGCATCTGGGCGGCCATCCCGAGGAGTTTGGCGACGGGCCGTCAACAAGCACGCCACAGGTAGATATGATCACTCTCTCCAGCGGGGAGTCAGTGCCGGCGGCAAAAGTGCGCAGCATACTAGAAGAGCAAATGGGTGCTGAGCTACTAAACAAGGCCATTGAACTCTACAACCAGAGCATGATGAATAATGGGCTCTCCAATGCAGAGATGCAACGCGAGCTAAATGAGCTAGTCGGCCCCAAACACGCACACCACTCGAACGCGATTACAAAGCTGTGTGTGTACGAGGGAAAGGAAAAAATGTAGAGCACGTCTGACTGACCCCAGCACCATGCAGAGAACATTGATTTGTCACTCTTATCTGTGTTAAGGGCAAACCAAAATGACAAAAAAAAAGCAACAACAACAACCAAAGAACTGAAGACAAAACAAAACAAAACAGAGAGAGATGAATGTGTCTGGTTCTCGATTTTCATCCTATGATTCTCATGAATTCGTACGTGAGACGTGTGGAATATCTACAACTCTGGACGGTTTAAAAAAGATTCTAAATCCCGTGTTATGTACCCTTTCGCTCGTACGTTTGACGTCTCCAAAAAACAACCCGTTATTTCCTCTCCACCGCTGACTGATGTGCCACATGTCTGTGCTTGTGTTGTGGGAGAGACGACGCTAGGGAGCAAACCAAGGCGACGCCAATCCATCAGCAAGGAAGAATTGTGTCGATCTCTCTTACTGCGTCTGTGTGTGTATGTTCGAGAGAAATAGTGAGTCTGTGTGTAAGAGAGAGATAGAGAGAGGAAAAAAAAAGAGGAAAGCGAAAGAAAGAAGGAGAGAGAGAGAGTGAGAAAGAAAGAGAGCGCGGAAATATACCCCACCTGTTTCGTCACTTAGAAAGTTGAAAGGATTGCGCGTGCCCTCGAGAGGGTATGCTTATTGTTTACGTGCGTGTCGTTGAGGTCGGTGGTGCGCTCTCGCTGTGGACGCTGGCGGGCCACATTTCGCTGCCCCTTCTTCCCCTGAATGACTAAGTGAGAGATCGAAGGATATCCATGCGCGAACGACCACGCTTAACTATTCGCCGAGGGCGCGGGGAAACACCGTATGTGCGGGAGCAGTCGTTAGGGAGCAAAGAGTCGGTGTTGACGCCACGGTGGGAGAGCCTTAACAGAAGCAACAACAACGGCATCACCGCCGCGCACTCCACATCACCGGAGGTGCGAAACGGTGACAAGTCGCTGTCGTACTGGGGGCGCATCTCTGTGCTCGCAAAGGAGGCTATTGGGGGGCTGCTGCGCATGCAGCGTGAGGTGCCAACAGCGCGGGAGGTGAAAGACCTCGCTGCAGAGGCTTCTGGCATGCCTTCCAACTCGTTGCAGCAGTCACCGATTACGCACACAGCACATGGCAGCGCCGCTCCGCTGGTGTTGGATCCATCGTTTGATGGTCGCCACCACGTTAATGGGAGCTTCACAGTGCCACAGCGGCCGCTTGCCCCGTATGAAGCTGCTCGCTCCGCGGCGCCACCAGCACAGCCGACGCTTTCACCACCACCACCACCACAGGTCGTATACAACTTCTACTACATGAACGGTGGTGCCCAGCCTGCCCCCCCTGTCATGCCAGGACAAGCACTGCAGCCTGCAATTCTCACAAACTCATCACCTACTTGGAACCGCGCAAGCATACTGGCACGCCGTTCTGTTTCTTACAAGCATGAACGTGAGGGACACGAATCATCATACGCAGCTGGGCGTAGGACCCGCACAGAACAAGCAGCCGCGCCGTCTGGCCCTCTAAGCATCGACGACAGCGGCCACACGTTCCCCGCATCAAACATCAGTTACAGGGCCTCTCTTAACACGAGTTCCTCGGGTGAAGTGGCCAGTAAGAAGACGGTTCTGGAATCTTGCGTCCCTCAGGGAATAAATAACCAGAAACGCGATGTTTTGCACGGAATCAAATCATCACCCACACAACCACCAGGCGTGGGCCAGGGAACGGGCCGAGAAGTCACATTTCCCACGGATGGCTTCGTGAAGAGCGGCCCACCAGCCG